TATTAGGTTGTTCGGAAAGTAATTTGGTTTTTTTTTGTTAAAATGAAAGACAATTTTCGTATAATAAATACATTTTTCGAGCTTCGAGGATAATCCCAGGCCTTTGAAGTGGTCATAAACTGTTGAATTTGATAAATTTAACCTCAATCCGATTTTACGTGTTGTTATTCGTCGGTTCGCATCAACTAATGCCTTTATCGCGTCTTTATCAGCTTCAACCGGCCTTCCCGAAAGTGGTGCATCTTCGACATTAAAATTGCCGGATCGAAATTTAGTAAATCAGTTCTGGCACTGGCGTATTGTCAACACACCTTCTCCATACACATCGGTCAATTTCTTTCTGGCTTGAACTGCATTTTTACACTTTCTGTAGTAAAACAGTACGATATGTCGAAAATGCTGCTTATCGCTCTCCATATTTACAAGGGATTCAAACAAAAACTATTGCGTAGAATTAATTGCAATTCTTGACACACAAGCCTTGTTATATGAGCTCTCAAAGCATATAAAAATTATACGGCTTAAGTGTGAAGTTGGGTGGAAAAAAAAACAATTACATTTCCTGTCGACGAAAAACGTAATTACTTTCTGAACAACCAAATATTATCGATATATATAATTCTGTTACAGATCTACTACTTATAAGATACTGTTTATAAATATATTTATAAGTCACTTTAAACTTATAGCCTTCAAACTATAAGGATGACAATATAGTAGGCATATCGGTGTCGGTAATTACTCTATTGAAGATTTTTTCATAATCGTTTTTCATTTTATTTTTCTAATGTTTAACAACTTTTATAAGGAAGAATAAGGAAGAATTAGAAAACACTGAGTATACTTTAAATTTAAGGAAAACTTTCAAAATAATTTAAAATTTTTTTTTACTATAACAACTCATTAATTCAAAGATAAACATACCATACTTATATCTTGTATGCCATAAACAATGTACCAAAAAAAAATTCCTTGAAAAACATAAAACTTACTTCAACCTCAAATAAAAATTTTTTGAAATATTTTAATGATTTTCAATAAGGAAACATAATACCCATGTTACCTTTAAGATAACAAGTCACAAAATGACAACAGCTCGTAAATCAGGAATAAATTAAAGTGAACCTCGAGGAACAAAAGATGGCAATACGTGCTTTATCGTTCACTACTGAAATATAAAATACAAAATCGGTGGAAAACATTTACGAGTTCTCACACATTTCAGTAGCATTTTTCGCACTTTTAAAGTAAACTTTTTTCGGTTTCATTCAGTTTTTAATTAATAACATTTCATTAAAATAAATAAGACAAAGGTAAGCGCCGTGGCTGTTTATCTGCAGCGCAACCGTTTCGGACTTATACTTAAGTTTAATCCTATTTGTGGTTTACGGCTGGCAGAATTAATGAATCCTTTTGCCATTTCAGGAAAACCTAATTTTTTTCTTCACTTCTGCTCTTCCTTTTGCATTGTAATTTTTTCTTAAGTAAGCAATTCCAACCTCTCACATAAGCCCCTTACCTAGTACATTTCTTTATTTCCTTGTGCCTCTTTTGTACGAAAATATGTAAAGAACGAAAGAAGAAAAGGATATCTGCTTAACTAATGTGATTGTTGGTTTTGTTTTCTTATCATAAATATCAAATCACAACATTCTTTATACTTTTTATGAGCTACTGTTGATGGAACACAGCAGCTTTTGCTTTTAATTATATATCAAAAAATTATTAAAAATTTATATCCCAACTCAGCTGCCACAAGGTACTCGTACTCTTCCACTAAAGCGGAAGCTGAAATAGCTTCATTTAAAAAAAATCTTCTCGTTTTTTTTTGGCGTTGGGTATTTAAGTTCATAGGTAAAGTTGGAAAATTTGTATACTAAAAACCCCGAGTCAAATTAAGAAATTTTTTCTTTTATAATTTCTTATCTAGGAAATAGGCGTGCATCTTACAAGTAATTTACGTGCGTTTAAGCATACATTTTTTTATCTGCCAGTACGGAATTTGCTTCAACCTCATCTTATATACTTTTTGTACTGTTTTATTTACTTGAATTTTCTTGGTCTTGGTCTTGGAGTAAGCGACCTTACTCCTCCTGCATAACTCTCTCTGTACATTCTTTGGATTTCTTATAATTTTTCTAAGCAAGTTCAAAAACGCTTGTTACATGAAAGCATTTAACACCAACGTCATCACCCCAATGGTTGGTCTAATCAAAGACAAACAGTGTCCTGAATAAATCCTTTGTGTACGCGCAGTAGATAAAAGCAACGCGTTTAACCTTTACATTGCAAGGATGCTGTTGATTTTATTTTATTTTATTTTTTTTTGTTTTTTCTTTTATTTTTGTATTGTTGCTGCAGGAGTGGTAACAAAAATTTACATGTCCCTAGGGTTAAGATTAAACACGGCAAGGAAAGGACGTTAAATAACAAAATAAAAATAATATAAAAATAAGTTATAAAAAAAGAGAAATTCCTGTAAGAATAAAGCAACCGAAATTGTCTCAAAAGAGCAAAACGAAGAAAAAAAGCTGGTGAAGAAAAAATTCCAAAAATTGCAGCCAAAGAAGGACTACAGAATTTTGGATGAAATATTTATATGGTCATAAAAAATATGACTCTCCCTCGTCAAGGAGTTAGGAAACTTATGTTAAACAATTTGTAGTTAAGCGCGATATATACAATAAATTTAGCATAAAATAGTAAAAATTACGTTAAATAACAAAATTTGTTTTGTTATTTATATATTAAAAAAATTATATATGGGAACTATAGCAGCCGTAAGAGGAGACGTCCTAAAAATACATTCAGAAGAATATTGCAAAAGAAAATCGAGGAGTTCGGAAAAACGTGAAACAAGCTGACGATTTCGACGATAAACAGAATCAGATGAAAGTGCTTTATTGAGGCCCTATGCTCTAATATGAGATACAGGAACTGATGATGATCATGATGCAATAAAAAAAAAAATAAAAAATATATTATAAAAAGAAAGAAAGAAATATTGAAAAAAGAAAAATTCTAAATAAGAACGAAGCATTCTTTCAGATACTTTCTTTGAATGTTACAATATTCTTTTGGACAATATTCCTGATTATAACTTCGGCTATATTGATTCCATTTATATTTGCAAAATATATTTATATTTTAAATATAATATCTGTATTATTCTACCTAATAGCATTATAAGTTGTAAGTTCAGTTCAGATCTGATGAGATTAAGTCCATACAAATTCTTAACATACCGACATCCATTAGTTAATTTATAAATAGATTGAAGGTGTACACGACAAGCCAAAAAATACATATGGAAACAAATGAAATTCATTGGTTTAATTTATTCCATGATGATGGTAAAAATCTTGAAGATAAGGACGGTGTAACTAGATCCATTAGTAACGTAAGGTCTGTGAGCGTGCCGTATCCAAAATTAAACCAAATAAAGTGGAAAGATTAGTATTGCAAAGACATGTTAAATATATCTCGAAGTAATCCCTCAAGCAAGTAAACCATTGAAAACTGAAAAAGGTATATGCTAATCACCAGAATAGTCAAAAGATAGTACATTTTTTCAGTTTTCAAGAGGCCAAAATTAACAAATATTTTTTTCGATTTAAGGAGACTCGTGTACAGTGAATTCATCTCAGAAGGTCAGATAATGATTGTAGAATATTTTCTGAGATTTCCACAAAAGATAATAACTGTTCTTTGATAATAATATAATAAATCATCCCACAAAACCATATTGCAAGCATATTCAATACACCAAAAAGAGCATATTTTTATTCATTATATCTCGTATTCACCTGATTTGATTAAGTGAGATTTCTAACCATTCACTAAACTGAAATTATTGATGGCACAAAATAGTTTAACCAATAAAGCTTTGATAGACACAGTAAACACAATTAGAAACGTCACATAAAAATGTATTAAAAAGTGGCTAACTCTTTTAAATTAATTAAACCAGGAAATCCAAATTAAAAAGGTTTCAAATTCTATTTAACTCTAGTCCCTAGTACAGCGTATCTACTTAAATATATTTCTGTTGAAACGAAATATTCTTTAAATTATAATTTTTTTATTTAGTCTACTGGAGATAGATGTTAAGGCTAAGGCCACGGTTGCCACTTATGGTACTTTAGTACCAAAATTGGTACTTTTTTTTCCATTTGGTACTCTGGTACTCATGTTCAAAAAATGGTACATTTTCGGCGACCCAACTTTATTGTGGATATTGTATTGTTTTATACTTTTGTACATTTTATATAAATTGTATTTTCTTATAAAAAGACAATAGAAAAATTTTGGACCTTTTTTTACAGAAATGGTACCTTTTTAAACCAATTTTGGTACAGAAAAAAATTTTCAAGTGGCAACCGTGGCTAAGGCTGAGACTGAGGTTAAAGCCGGATATATAAAAAATATATTACATTAAAATTAATATTAAAATCAATATTTTAATCATTGTTACTACTTTTTAACACTTTCTTCAATTATACTGATTGAGAATTGTAAATGTAAATAATGTCCATATTAATATAGACGTTATTTTTATTTAAAGTTCGTATTGAATACAATTAAAGACAGTGGTAAATAAGTATAGTAAGCAAGTACAAATTATGTTTGATACTTTGATATTTTAATATAACGTTTAATTACACTAGCAACGGATAGATTACCTAGTCACACGGAGAATGCTCACAGCAATTAATTAAACAGAAATATTCTTTAAATTATTCTTTTATTATAAGAGATGTAAATAGAAATCAATTGAGTTGATTTTTTTCATCCATGATTTGGTGGTTATTTTTTTCCAACATCTTCAGGGGTAATGTTTTGTCTTGTTCTAATGTTGTGATCAAGTGATCTATTATTAGATCATTTCGGTACGTAAGGTACCGAAAAATTTTTTATAATAACTTAAATGAAACTACGTAGAAGTATTTCGGGAACTAGTTAACAAGACAATAATGTATTTAAAAATTTAAAAAGTCAGATATACAAGATTGAGAAAAATTGGTAAAGGTTAGAGAAAGAGAAAGCAGGATGTGGCTAAGAAAGCAGAATGTGGTTAAGAGAGCAGGATGTGGTTAAAAAAGCAGGATGTGGTTAAGAAAGCAGGATGTGGTCAAGAAAGCAGGATGTGGTTAAGAAAGCATTCGCCCCCAAATTGTTATTAATAATCATGAAACACATTTATATAAGAACTGAATACACAATTGAGTGTATTAGGTAATAACTAAATACGTAAATAAATAGGTACTAATAGGTAAATAACTAAAATTAGGGTAATATTATCAGATATGTGTTCCTAACATACAACATATTCGATTAATTTATTAATAAATTATATACTTGTACATATAAATTGGAAATAAATATTTATTTGGAGATCAGTTAATTGCTAGTAAAAAAACTTACCCTTACTTGAGCAGCATTTTGTTGATTATTTCTATCTCTACGATTTACTGTCTTTAATCCTTTGAGAAGTCTTGCTAGTGTTGTACGCTTTTTGGTCTCGCGACCTTCTAAAATATTGAGAAAAATATCGGAATTAAAAAATAGATAATTAAACATTGTTTAAATAAAATTATTTTATAAAATATGTTAAAGTGATATTTTATATCAAGTGGATAATATAAATATGATAATATATCATATCATATCATATATACAATATATTATGATTTTTTCCTTAAACATTTCTTATCTCATACATTATAAAAATATTTAAATATTACAGACATATAATGTGTACAATATATACGATGTATAATGTATTTACTAATCTATAATATATATGGATTTATATTATAGATATATTGTTGTTTAAGATCTAAGTGCCGAGCTATAGTTTCTCAAAATTGAAGTGCAATATCCACTTTATATGAAATTCCCTATATATGTATATATTTATGAAGATATATATAATTTAAGTACTACAATTTTTTTTATTATTACTCTATTATTATTTTTTAGTACAAAAAATTTGCATTTAGAGAAATTATTCTAAAAATTAAATAAAAAACTAATTAGAAAAAAAAAAACTGAAAAGCTATAAATGAAAAAATTTAAAGTCTAAATTTTTTTAATTTTTAATCTCTGAAAGTAATTTATGTATCTTACATATTATATATATTAATAGTGTAATCATCTTACCTGCATTAGGTGGAAATTCGTAAAAATACGCAGATCTAGGACTTAGGCAACTGCAAATGAAAATAACAGAAAAAAACATATTGTTTATTTTAATTGAGTATATAATAATTAAATAAATTAAATTTAAAAATTTTTCTTGGCAACATTACAATAATTTTAAAAATCTAAACTATTATTATTTGTGGATGAGATTTGTCTCTCTTAATTTAACAGGAAATTAATAACTAAAATTTTTTTTATGAAGGTATTTATTTCAAATTTTTAATGAAATTATATGTTATTTATTTTCTTTTTTTATGTTTTATTTATTTTTTTTTCTTCCTTTCATTTCCTTAATTATATTTTTTTTTTTTGATGCTGTTAGCTTGCCATACGACATTTATTAATTTAATGTGCTTATCTGAGCTCAGTTGAGCACTGATTGAGTGAGTGAAGTGAAGAGGTTCACTTTGTACTCCATATAAATATAGTTTAGTAGGATAGTTCATGTAGTTTGATATGTATGGCTTTATAATTATGCTATTAAGAATTAAGATAAATGTTGCTCAGAATTTTTGGAGGTTTTTTAAATGGTTTTGAAAGACAGTCACAAGAATAGAGTTGGCTTATCATTAGAGATTAATATTAGAAGACTTCTGTTATATATTTAGATAACTTACTTTTGTTGTACAAAATTTAAGTGTGCTGCATTTGGCGGGAGTGTTTGATGTGCCATCAAACTTTGTTGATGTTGCTGTTGTAATTGTTGTAGTTGATGTTGTTGACTACCTGGCACTGTTGGTATTTGTGTTTGTGGCTGTTGTTGATTTTGTTGCAGTTGCTGTTGTTGTTGTAGGGTATGTTGCTGTATTAGTTGTTGTTGTTGGGTTAAAGCACCACGAGCAACACGCGGCGCAAAGACACCATAACCAAAACCATAAATTTCATCTTCTTCCTTATCGGAGAGACAACTTGATGGCTATAAAAGTGAAAAAAAATGTATCAAAATATATAAAAAAAAACAATATGCTATATATAAATATATTATAATTTTGTGCGGAATAATAAAATTTTATTCACACCGACATGCAAAATTAACCATTACTTAAAAAAAATACATGTATATATATATATTGGAGACATGCAAGGGTTGCATTATATAGATTCATATAAAAATATTAATTAATACGTTACGTTTTTGAAACCTTTTTAATATATTTGCACAAGAC